CACACACAGTTACTCCAAAACAGGAGACTGGGTACACGGCTTCAGTGCAAAAATATTAGAACCTGTTTACTAGCCTGTCTTGTCTACTTGCTTTTCTGCCATTGTGCCTACCTGTGTGTGTACATGCTTATCTTGATGTCCATCTGTCTACCTGTCTGTCTCTGCCATCCTACCAATCTGTCTGACTGACCAGCTATTTAAAAAATGAAGGGTTGTCAAATCTTTGTATAATATATAGTTGGTAATAGTTTTCTCGCTTTTTTTTCTCGTTCAGGATAACTGTGGAGAGAGAGAGAGAGAGAGAGAGAGAGAGAGAGAGATACCCTTTTCCTAATTTGCTTACACAAAGTAAACTACTCATTGTAAACCATTGTGTGTGTGTGTGTGTGTGTGTGTGTGTGTGTGTGTGTGTACTCACCTATTTGGACTCACCTATTTGTGGTTGCAGGGGTCGAGTCCTAGCTCCTGGCCCCGCCTCTTCACCGGTTGCTACTAGGCCCTCTCTCTCCCCGCTCCATGAGCTTTATCAAACCTCGTCTTAAAACTGTGTATGGTTCCTGCCTCCACTACGTCATTTTCTAGGCTATTCCACTGCCTTACAACTCTATGACTGAAGAAATACTTCCTACTATCTCTCTGACTCATTTGTGTCTTCAACTTCCAATTGTGGCCTCTTGTTTCTGTGTCCCCTCCCTGGAACATCCTGTCCTTGTCTACCTTGTCTATTCCACGCAGTATTTTATATGTCGTTATCATGTCTCCCCTGACCCTCCTGTCCTCCAGTGTCGTCAGGCCGATTTCCCTTAATCTTTCTTCATAGGACATTCCCCTTAGCTCTGGAACTAACCTTGTTGCAAACCTTTGTACTTTCTCTAGTTTCTTGACGTGCTTTATCAAGTGCGGGTTCCAAAACAGGTGCTGCATACTCCAGTATGGGCCTGACATACACGGTGTACAGTGTCTTGAATGATTCCTTACTAAGGTATCGGATGCTGTTCTCAGGTTTGCCAGGCGCCCATATGCTGCAGCAGTTATCTGATTGATGTGTGCTTCCGGAGACATGCTCGGTGTTATACTCACCCCAAGATCTTTCTCCTTGAGTGAGGTTTGCAGTCTTTGGCCACCTAGCCTATACTCTGTCTGTGGTCTTCTGTGCCCTTCCCCTATCTTCATGACTTTGCATTTGGCAGGATTAAATTCGAGAAGCCATTTGCTGGACCAGGTGTCCAGTCTGTCCAGGTCTCTTTGAAGTCCTGCCTGGTCCTCATCAGATTTAATTCTCCTCATTAACTTCACATCATCTGCAAACAGGGACACTTCTGAGTCTAACCCTTCCGTCATGTCGTTCACATATACCAAAAATAGCACTGGTCCTAGGACCGACCCCTGTGGGACCCCGCTCGTCACAGGTGCCCACTGTGATACATCATTACGTACCATGACTCGTTGTTGCCTCCCTGTCAGGTATTCTCTGATCCATTGCAGTGCCCTTCCTGTTATATGTGTGTGTGTGTGTGTGTGTGTGTGTGTGTGTGTGTGTGTGTGTGTGTGTGTGTGTGTGTGTGTGTGTGTGTGTGTGTGTGTGTACAACACGATGTCAGCGGTAGATGGCGGCGACGGTGGTGATGTATGCAGTATGCCTCTATTTCCCATGTAACTGTATATACCTTGCATACACCTATATTTGTTGATTAAGCCTCTGTTATTGAATAAAATGTAGGTTGTCGTTTTTAGTCTTCTAGGTTGTCGTTTTTCTCTCTTTTTTTTCGCCGTGTCTTGCCAAACAATCTTTGGGGAGAAAATTATATCACCTGGTATTCAGTGTATAATTTTCACTGTTGTTGTAATGTTATATAAGATTTATGTAAAAGATTGTGCTCTTAAATCATGGTTTCACCTGGAAGTTGCATTGGGTCGTGATGTTTTATCCGGAAATTATGTACATTGGATCGTGATGTTTCAACCGGAAGTTGTATTGGGTCATGATGTTTCAACCGGAAGTTGTATTGGGTCGTGGTTTCAACCGGAAGTTGTATTGGGTCGTGATGTTTCAACCGGAAGTTGTATTGAGTCGTGATGCTTTAACCGGAAGTTATACTAGGTCGTGATGTTTCAACCGGAAGTTGTATTGTGTCGTGATGCTTCAACCGGAAGTTGTACTGGGTCGTGATGTTTCAACCAGAAGTTGTATTATATTATGCTGTTTCAACCATCAGTGGCTAAATTATGCAACAGTAGCAGTATCTGCAACAGCTGTTGCAGTAAAATCAGCATTAGTATTAATAAAATGGCATTAGTAATTAGTATTAGTAATGGTAATTAGTATTAGTATTAATGGTAAAATGGTATTAGTAATAATAATAGTAATAGTAATAAAATATAACGCTCTAGTGGGAGTCTCGTTGGGAGACTATCGTAGTGGGAGTCTCGTTGGGGAGATTATCGTAGTGGGAGTCTCGTTGGGGAGATTATAGTAGTGGGAGTCTCGTTGGGGAGATTATCGTAGTGGGAATCTCGTTGGGAGATTATCGTAGTGGGAGTCTCGTTGGGAGACTATCGTAGTGGGAGTCTCGTTGGGGAGATTATCGTAGTGGGAATCTTGTTGGGGAGATTATAGTAGTGGGAGTCTCGTTGGGGATTATTATTATTATTATAATCAAAAAGAAGCGCTAAGCCACAAGGACTATACAGCGTCTCGTTGGGGAGATTATCGTAGTGGGAATCTCGTTGGGAGATTATCGTAGTGGAAGTCTCGTTGATGAGATTGTCGTAGTTGGAGTCTCGTTGGGGATATTATCGTAGTTGGAGTCTCGTTGGGGAGACTGTTGTAGCGGGAGTCTCGTTGGAGAGACTATTGTAGTGGGAGTCTCGATGGCGAAACTAGTGTAGTGGGAGTCTCGTTTGGGAGACTATCGTAGTGGGAGTCTCGTTGGGGAGACTATTGTAGTGGGAGTCTCGATGGCGAAACTAGTGTAGTGGGAGTCTCGTTTGGGAGACTATCGTAGTGGGAGTCTCGTTGGGGAGACTATCGTAGTGGGAGTCTCGTTGGGGAGACTATTGTAGCGGGAGTCTCGTTGGAGAGACTATTGTAGTGGGAGTCTCGATGGCGAAACTAGTGTAGTGGGAGTCTCGTTTGGGAGACTATCGTAGTGGGAGTCTCGTTGGGGAGACTATCATAGTGGGGGTTTCGTTGGGGAGACTATTGTAGTGGCAGTCTCGTTGGGGAGGCTATCGTCGTAGAAGTCTTAAGGAGACTATCGTATGGGAGTATTTTTAAAGAGACTATCGTAGTGGGAGCCTCGTTGTGGAGACTCCCACTACGATAGTCTCTTTAAAAGATAGTCTCGTTAGAAAGACTGTCATAGTGCGAGTCTCGTTAGAAAGACTATCATAGTGCGAGTCTCGTTAGAAAGACTATCGTAGTGGGAGTCTCGTTGGGGAGACTGTCGTAATGCGAATCTCTTTGGGGAGACTATCGTAATTTAAAGTTTTCTATCAATTCCTCTCAAGAGAGGTTCCTGAGTGCCGATGAGGAGCTCTTGATCCAAGGAATTGGACTTGTCTTCCATTTCCTTGGATCAAAAGTGAATTTCCTCCCATTCCCCAGGCTCCGTATGACAGATACGGGCTTAGAGCTTCCCCTAAGTGTCATAATATTTCTGCAACCTTAGTTTGCTGTATTGCACTGTAAATTATAATTATTATATTCAGGAAGAAGCGCTAAACCTATAAGGATCATACAGCGCCTGAGGAAATTTGAAATATTCGGGTTTGATCCAAGGAAGAGGATGGTAGCTTCAGTTCCTCCCATCACTGGGTTTCGAACAAGTATCACCCCTCAAGTGAGCTCAGTGTCAAGTGTCAGACTGACATGATAGTGGCTATCTTCGTACTTAGCAAATCAAAATTGTAATTACACTTTGTAACCTTTACAAAGTATTTCACGACACCTTGTGAGTTATAGAGACTCGTTCCTCCGTCATGCAGTCGGGGATTGGTCTCTGACCAGTTGAGTTGGTCTAATCAAAATAGGTTAGTATTTTTTTTTTATCCATCGTATTAGCAGAGGCGCTCCTTGAACCTCGCAATATGAATATATATAATAATTTAATGCGATAAATTGACTTTCATTACACTAAAATTTTAACCCAATGAGTGTTATATTACTGTCATGATATTCAGGACGTATGAATAAATTAACTATGCAAAGTAGAAGTAGGTCATTCCACTCTTGAAAACACATTCCATGGCAACAGTAGGTATGTTAGACTTAATGTTTACTGACAACCGAGAACATGGTTTCTCAGAGATATCATCATTCCACCAACTAAAAAAAAAAAATATTTAACAGTGTATATACTTTTGATGGGATGTACAATTGTCATTACTGCTGCATTGTACCTGTATACCACCACTCAAGAGTACTTTCATCCATAATTCTCTCTCTCTCTCTCTCTCTCTCTCTCTCTCTCTCTCTCTCTCTCTCTCTCTCTCTCTCTCTCTCTCTCTCTCTCTCTCTCTCTCTCACTCGTGCCGAATAGGTAAAATTGGTCATTTAGCAAAACCTCATTTAAAATTAAATTCTTTCTAAAATTTTCTTTTATAAGTTTAAAGATATATTTTTTTTATTTATGTTAATGTAAAAAGAACCTTAGAAAACTTACGTAACCTTATTATAACAAGCGCAATTTAATTGAGCTTAATCCAACTAAATATATTTTAGATAAGTTTACAATAATTTAATAATTAGCAAACACAATGAAATATATTTTTTTCATTAGGTTTAGAATGATTTTTTGCGAAATTATTGCATACACAAATTTTCGTTTGCCTTATTCGGCAAGAAGAGCTTTGTTATTTAAGCCAAAATCGCAAGTTTTACCTATTCAGCACGACATATACATGCATGCATACATAAACACGTTTATACCATACATGATATATTCGTATGATTATGTAAATATCCTGAAATTATAAATTACAAAAGAACATGTATTTACCTTGCTCCAGATACGCGTGATAAATCCAAGAATATTGCAGTTTACGCGAGACACTGACACAGTCCCTAAGAACCAGTCCTAACACCTCGTGAATCTAAGCAATCGCAAGGCCACCGTCAGATAGGCGCTCCTCCGATCCTGTGTTAGCTGCTGCGAGGCGTGTGTCTACCGTGCTGGCTGGCTCCAACACTACTGTCAGGCCCTCACTCCCACCACCACCACCGCTCGCTCTCATAACCTGACCTCCTCGTTTCCTCTTTTTATAAACCTATGTGTCCACAGACCACAGTTCACTCCCAAGGAATAGAGGAGAGGGAGAGGGGCAAGTGTCGAAAGATTAGCTTGGTCGCTCTATATAATAATAATAATAATAATAATAATAATAATCATAATAATAAAATTATTATTAACGATAACTGGTGTAAGGACAGCAGGTGAGATCGCCCAGCTCATCTGAAGATACAAATAATTTTATGACTCGAGTGAATGTTAAAATTATTCCAAATTCGTTAGTTATTATTTGTATGGTGAGAAGGCAAGGTGAGGCGCTCGTGATGTGGTGGAGGCTGCTAGGTCTTGTAGGGAAAAGTGAGGAAAAGGGATGAAAAGAGCGAGGGAGGTAGAGGGAGAGTACGTTAAGGGTGGAGAGGTTTGTTGGGTATGTGGAGCTGCAGTAGACACCCACGCAACCCACGACCTTGACACACAAACGTGTGTGTTAGTATGTGTGTGCTCACCTAGTTGTGGGTGCAGGGGTCGATTCATAGATCCTGGTCCCGCCTCTTCACTGGTCGCTACTAGGTCCACTCTCTCTCGCTACTTCATGCACTTTGCCATACCTCTTCTTAAAGCTATGTATGGATCTTGCCTCCACTACATCACTCTTCAGACTGTTCCACTTCCTGACAACTCTGTGACTGAAGAAGTACTTCCTAACATCCCTGACTCATCTGAGTTTTCAACTTCCAGTTGTGGCCCTTTGTTACTGTGTCCTATCTCTGAAACATTCTGCCCCTATCCACCTTGTCAATTCCTCTCAGTATTTTATGTTGTTATCAAGTCCCCACTATCCCTCCTGCCCCCCAGTGTTGTCAGGCTAATTTCCCTCAACCTCTCCTCGTAGGACAAACTCCCTCGGCTCAGGGACTAGACTTGTTGCTAACCTATCTCTTAATTTCTTGACGTGCTTGGCCAGGCGTGGGTTCCACACTGGTCCTGCATACTGTACTGAGCCTGACGTACACAGTGTATAGAGTCTTGAACGATTCTTTAATAAGGTGTCGAAACGCTGTTCTTAGGTTTGCCAGGCGCCCATATGCTGCAGCAGTTGTGTGTGTGTGTGTGTGTGTGTGTGTGTGTGTGTGTGTGTGTGTGTGTGTGTGTGTGTGTGTGTGTGTTTGTTTTAGATTACATTACTAGTTTTTAATGATAAATATTTTTCAATTAATATCACAAGGCACACACATAACATTTCCACATTACATCAATAATTCCCACAGGTGCTGATGTCTTCTTAGATCATTAACCAATGTCATTACAACAGGACCGGAGTTTTCTAAAACTTATAGGAGACTACTCACACATTTTCTAAGACACAGGTGCCTACTCTTTGCTGCAAGGCGGACCTACTTTCGAAACCAATTAACCTAAGAGTTTCTACTATTATTGCTAACCTCTAACTTGGGAACCTACTTTCAAGACCTACGTTGAATAGAGACAAAGGGATCAAAGACCTACGGTAGTGTGCAGATTAACTGGGACAGGAGTAAATTTTGTGATTATCTCATAATGTGTCTTAGTCTCCGGTTTAATTAATGTAGTTTTTTTTTCTTTCCAAAAGAGTTTGCTACCGACTTCTGGCAACCATCCAGCTGTGGTGTTACCCTGCGACTCTCGTCAGTGATACAACATCAGTTGTTCTGTAAAGCTATTCTTACAAGCATGCTCTGTAAATGAATGTGGTTTCGCCAAATTCTCTGCTTCAATTCATGATAGATTTTACACCTAGGAAGCGTGTAAGTATTGTAGCTCTTATAAAATATGCTGATTTAAGTATAAGACAGATCGCCGAAAATTTGAGCAAAGTCAGTTGTTGGTCGGATTCTGAAGAGAGCTGACGACACTGGTGATTGTAGAGCGCTGCGTCGAGGAAGATGTGGAAGATAAAACAAGACAGCACTTCAGATGAGTAGGGTATCATAAGAAATAGTGTGAAGGATCTCAAGGAAACCAGCAAAGATCTGCAAACAGATTTGGCTTCATCTGGCGAAAATGTTGATTCTTCAACTGTCTGACGAAGGCTCCTTGAAGTTGGCAGAACTGCCAGAAAGCCGATAAACAATTATTAGTCGCTGCTATGAAAAATGAACGGCTGCAATAGGCACTCAGTCATAAGGGATGGAAGACAGATGAATGGAGAAAAGATATATTTTCAGATGAGGCGCATTTTGAAATATGTAGGTACAGATCAGTGGTTATGAGACGGAGCAAAGACAGACCTCTTTGGAATGGACACATTCAACAAGCGCCAAAACACCCACGATGAACAGTAACAGATACAAGGGAATCCTGGCAACGCATTTGTTTCCCCTTGTGGATAGAGACTTTCTTCATGGAGACAGCATTTTCCAGCAGGATCTTGCTCCATGCAACACTTCCAGAAAAATGCTGACATTCTTCGAAGAGAGTGGAGTAAGCGTTCTAAATTAGCCTGGAAACTCTCTTGACCTCAACCCCAGTTGAGAATCTATGGGCAATAACCATACGCAGGATCGTGAAAGAGAACTGTTCAGCTGTAGAGAAGTTAATTGCTGCTGTTATTAGGACCTGGAACCACGACGAAGAACTTGCCAAAATGTGTTCAACATTGGTGGATTCTATGCCGCAGCGTGTAGCAATGCTTATAAAAGCAAAGGGTAGTCATTTCTCTTATTAAAACAATTATCTGTCATATCATTGTCGTGTATTTTTTAAATAAATATTAATTTCCCAAATAAATGTATTATTCCATCACTGTCCCAAATAATATGCACACTATAATGGTAATTTAAAGAATTCATATATATTTTTTCTCATATGCAAAATCCATAGCAAAAGCAACATCTAACTAGTATCGGACCATTAATTAAATGAACATACACTGATGACAGTAAATTATTATTATTATAATCAAGGGAGAAGCGCTAAACCCGGTGGATTATACAGCGCCTGGGGAGGATGTGGAAGGCATTCAGGCTTAATTCGGGGAACTGATGACAGTAAAGAAATAAATAAAACAAACGAGATGCAGGGCCAATAATAGTTCTTTTCAAGTCAGTTATTTCTTCTAGGCTGGAATATTACAGAGCCGGGAAACGTCCAGAGAATTTTCACTGCTTTTATTAATTGAAGCATCTGAACTACTGGGAACGTTTGAAGTCCCTTAAACTGTGGTTGTTGAAGCGTAGTTAACAAAGATACATCATAATCTACACCTTGAAAGTTATGGTGGGATTTGGTGTAAATCTACACAGTTAAATCACTCCATATGAAAGTAAGAGGCTTGACAGACGGTCCAAAATACCTCCAGTGAAAAGCTTACACTAAGTGTAAGCGGACTAAGATCCTTCAGTATCTTTCCTGTGGTGTTTATGCTGGAATGCGTGCGACTGGCACCAACAACCTGGTGGCATAGGACAACAGTCGGGTTGTTTGGTCTCAGACCGAGCTGTGTGAGGGGGGGGATTTGACCCATAAAATACTTCAGGTAAACCTGGGGGCCTACTTTCAAGGTTTCTGACCTGAGATCTGCTCTGACCTGAGGATTTATTTCAAGACCTCTGTAACGGCTTTCAAATCTAATGACCAGGGACCTACTTTGACCTGGGACTTACTTTCACTTGGGAAACTACTTTCAAGACGTATTATGACCTGCTGATCTGCTGTCAAGACTTATTCTGAACTTGACACCTTTGACCTGGGGACCTACTTTGAGGATGTACTCTGATCTAAAGACTTCTCAAGACCTACTCTGACCTGGAGACCTATGTTTAGATCTTATTCTCATCTGAGCGCCTATGAAGACATGAAAAATGATTGCTGGGTCATGCACACTAACTTAACGGGACATACTGGCTGTTGGGTGTGGTCACCACTGCTGCATTCTGCCTAAACCCACACTGCTATCTCTCTCTCTCTCTCTCTCTCTCTCTCTCTCTCTCTCTCTCTCTCTCTCTCTCTCTCTCTCTCTCTCTCTCTCTCTCTCTCTCTCTCTCTCTCTCTGGTTAGGTTAATTGGGTTTAAATCTTATCGACTACACAAGGGTCATCAAGGCTTCATGCAACGTATTCACCACCAGTCAAGAATACTTTAAAATCCCTATAATAGGGATTAAATTTTGTATATATACACTGAAAAACATGCATCAATATACCTCTCGATGTATATATATATCCTTACTTAACTGCTTCTCTTAATGTAAATTTTCCTGATATTTAGGTTAGGTTTACACACACAATAATATATATATATATATATATATATATATATATATATATATATATATATATATATATATATATATATTATATATATATATATATATATATAATGTAATGCCGAATAGGTAAACTTGCTATTTTGACTTAAATAGCAACGTTCTTCTTGCTCAATAAGGCAATCGAAAATTTGTGTATGCAATAATTTCGCAAAAATCATTCCGAACCTAACGAAAAAAAAAAATTTATGTTATGTTAGGCTAAATTAAATTGCACTTGTTATAATAAGGTTAGGTAAGTTTGCTAAGGTTCATTTGGTACAAAATTAATTTTTACATTAACATAAATGAAAAAAATGTATCTTTAAACGTATAAGAGAAAAACTTAGAAAGGACTTAATTTTAAATGAGTTCTTACTAATTGACCAGTTTTACTTATATTGGCAGTTTGTTGGGATGTGTAATAGGACGGTATATATATAATTGGGGCCCTGATATTGTAATTATTTCAGGTCACTTTTTATATTGTATCTTTATATATGCTTCTAAACTGTTGCATCTGGGCGCCTCTGCAAAAACAGTGATTATGTATGAGTGAGGTAAAAGTGTTGAATGATGAAAGTATTTTCGTTTTGGGGATTTTCTTTCTTTTTGGGTCACCCTGCCTAGGTGGGAGACGGCCGACTTGCTGAAATATATATATATGCAAAACAACCACTGTAAAAGAATAGTGAAATTCCAAGA